ATTTTTAAAAAAAAATCCTTTAACGTTCTTTAAAAGCCCTGACGGCCCGTGGTTACGGAGGGGGGGGGGGGGGGGGTCCCTTTGGACTGGGCTTGACACAATTCGGTTAGCTCCCCGGCACTAAACAAAAGCCCCCCACCCCCCTCCCGGCACTTTGTCAGAGACAAACTATTGATTTGTTGATCTAACTCAATATTCATTTCGATGAATATATCTTATGAAAGATCTCAGATTTTTAAAGGGATGTGTGTGTGTGTGTGTGTGAATGTGCCCGCAAGACCAATCTGCACAGACACACGAACTAAGACACACGGACACATGAAGACACACGGACTAAGACACACGGACACATGAAGACACCAAGACACGAAACTTTTTCAAGTGCAACGTCGCAGACAAATCAAACGCCAGTACGCAAAATATTTTTAAAATTTTATTGAATAAATTATTTTAATATGAGCACCATAACTTACTCTCAGCACTATACACATTCTATACACATTCTATACACATTCTGTGCACATTCTATACACATTCTGTACACTTTCTGTACACATTCATAATGTCAAATAAATAAACCGTAATGAGAAGAGAACACAGCATTTGACAGAGAGCATGGCGAGAATAAATTAACGGGTGACGCCTCTGTACAATGATTATGCAGCAGTCGCTAAAGGTGAAGAGGTCGGTAACAGCAGACGGGTGGTGTTTTCGTTGATGAGGTGCTTGGGGGTGCGGGGGAGGGGGTGCGGGGTCGTGGGTGCGGGGGAGGGGGTGCGGGGTCGTCGGTCTTCCGACACGTGGTGATAATGAATGAAGAGGGCTTCATATAATGAGGGGGTGGGGGCAATAAAAGAGCACCCTACGGGGCGGATTCGTGATATGTTAGCATGAAATGGAATACAAAATTACTTCAACTTGAAGATGGCATGTGGCATTATATTGACATGTGACGAGAGAAGACGGCTCTCATCCTGTACCAATGGTGTAGTAAATGCAGTTAATCATTAAATATAAGATCTACAGCAACATGGGTAAAAATAATTCGGTTGAAAATGGTCAGTGCACAATTCTGGACATCGATGACATTAGTTGACAACGTGTCACCTTCGAGGGACAAAGTGTCTGGACACAGCATGACAACATGTCATCTCGGGGGCGGGGGGCATGGTGTCTGGACACAGTATGAAAACATGTCATCTCTGGTGGGGGGGGGCATGGTGTCTTGACACTGAATGACAACATGTGACATGAGTACTCAGAAATTAACTAACTAACTACTAACGGCTTTCACAATACTTTTAACTTTTGCAATTTTTCAAAAATGGTTTACAAAAATAAATTTGGTTTTACCTTTCAATAATGAATTAGTAAGGGGGTAAGATTTCAACTATTTCCACGTGAATTGGTAAGCTGGTACTATTTCAACTATTTTTACGTGAATTGGTAAGCTGGTACTATTTCAACTATTTTTACGTGACAAATGGCGTACAATATGAAAACATTCTTGTTAAGCATGTTAAAATAAAATGCCATACAATCAAATGTTCCATTACCTCACTAGTGTTTGCTTACAAACTTTAAAATACACAAACATAATGTTGCAGTTGTGAGGTCACGTGACGAAGAGATTCAACCAATTAGAGTCAGAATTTATACCAAACAAAAAAAAAAACAAAAAAATAAAAATAAAAAATTTAAATATAGCCTAACACAATAAATAATATTCATTGTTTCATATATATAAATATATATTTATATAAAAGACTCAACATTATCCACAACAACACACCCCTCCCCCCACAACAAAGTCATCTTTGGTATAGTTGCTATGTTAAAAAAAGGATCATGCACATATCAACAATATCTGTAGTGATTCATTATTTACACATTATACAAATACACAGAATTAATAATTGTTTAAACAAAAAAAAAAATAATCAAAATTGTTAAAACACGACTAATATTGCATTTGTAGGTATCCCATCGGCCTTCCGTGACTCTATAAGTCAAAATTAATAATCTATCTAATCTTAATGCCACTGTTATATTTTCTGAAAATTAATATCATACACTTAGTATTATATTTCAAAATTACAAGAAAATAAAATAATAATAATCACTTAAATAGATTTTGTTACAATTTTTTCTTTCATAAACAAAAAATAGACTAATAATAATACACTTCAAAATAACAACTAAAAAAAAAAAAAAAAAAAAAAAAAAAATAAAAAAAAAAAATTTAAAAAAAAAATAAAAAAAAAAAAAAAAAAAAAAAAAACACTTAAAAATTACAACAAAAAAAAAAAAAAAAAAAAAAAAAAAAATTTAATATATATATTTTTAAAAATTATTTAAACAAATAGTCTAATAATCACATACATAAGTTTCGACATAATTGTCTGTGAAAAAAACCCCCATAATATTTATATTTCAAAATAAAAAAAAAATAACAAAAGAGGTATCGGCCAAATGAAATTTCGCCATTGCGGATTGAGACGCCTTGAATGGCGACAAGCGAGATGAGTCACGAGATGGACACGAAATGATACCCTGAAAAAAAATTGGCTGAGTGATTCCACGAGTCGATATCTGGAGGGTAACTCGACAGCTTTATTATGTGAGAAAACATTAAAATGATGTGAACACTGGTGGGGTCAACAAAAAAAAACAAAAAAATCAGGGTGGGGTTATTAAAAATTTCAGGTGTAACATTTGGGAGTAGCGGCCCATGATTTCATTTTTGAATAATTTAGCTATTGATTTTTGTCTGGTTTCCCAGTGAAAATGCAATATTTAAAAGATTGATGAGCATAAAAAAAATAAACCTAAATTATTTAAAAATTTAATTTCCTGTAAAGCTTTGTTTTAATGTATCTCAATAATTTCAGATTCAGTGTAGTTAAAAAAAAACAAAAAAAAAAAAAAAAAAAAAAAAAAGAAATAGATGAAATACTTTGATGAAAATTGCACTTCTATTTCCCGGTGAGTGTGTGTCGATGACACACCAGTATCGTCGTGGCGTGTCAATGTTGACACACCAGCCTCGCGCTATCTCAACGTATTTTAACATGCCACAACTCTGAGTCTTAGCTACCCGTAATGAGAACCGCTGGAGGTTTTGCCAATCAATTCATTCACACACACACACAGTCCACGTATTTTAAGTATGGTGTTGGAGGGAGGGACATTTCTGTTTTAACTGAATAGGGATACACACAAATTGTGGTGGACTTTATACCCCATATTAATACGTAAATATTTTAGATATATCTTATAACCGACAATATTGATATACGAAAAAAGGGGGGAGGGGGAGTGGAAGGTTTGGATAAAATAAAATTATTTCAATTAAAAAACTCGAAATAATAGGTATATTTCTCTAATATTCACGTAATTTGATAAAGTGTTATAAATAATACATGATCATTAGATGAAATTCTACTTGCGTAAAATAAAATTTTGAGGAGAAAAAAAAAAAAAAAAATCTTTATGTAGTACGTGAGAACCCCTGATTACATTTCTGGGTACCCCTGATTGCATTTCTGGGGCTGTCAATCGATTTAACGCTCTCCAGTCAGCCGAATCAATAAGTATACAGTTCCGTTACCTGCAGTCAATACTTATACAGTCCCGTTACTGCAGACACTCAATTCATTTAGCATTTCGGCCAAGTCATATGTACAACATTCACTCAAATCATTGGTGGTCTACAATCTGTTTGGATTCACTCTCATTCGGGGCTTCTCAGAGAAATTTATACACGCCCCACACGTCATATGTAATAGTTTTGTAAAGTATTTAAATAAAAATCATGACTGTACAGGATCAACAGTAAACAGCAAACAGCAAACATCACAGCCTGTCAGCTCAGTGGACGTGAGTCAATAAATAAGTTCAATAAGTTAGTGACCATTGACGGGATGGAAACGAAAAAAAAAAAAAAATTCAAAAATTCGAATATGATAAGTTAGCAAAACAGCCTGTCAGCTCAGTGGACGTGAGTCAAAAAATAAGTTCAATAAGTTAGTGACCATTGACGGGATGGAAACGAAAAAAAAAAAAAAAAAATTCAAACATTCGAATATGATAAGTTAGCAAAGGTATCTTCATTGGGTTATCTAACTATCACCATTGGGTTATCTAACTTGCAATCTTGGGGCTAGATCTAAGCTATTCAAATTTAAGTTGTTAAAACACGCAATTTATCCAATAAAGTTTTGAGTAAATCCTTAAGTTTCACGGACATATTAAATTTACAAGAAAAGGATCCCAGTTTTTGGGGACGTTCATACGTATGACATGACGGTCCTACATATGACATGACGGTCATACGTATGACATGACGGTCCTACATATGACATGACGGTCATACGTATGACATGACGGTCCTACATATGACATGACGGTCATACGTATGACATGATATTACCAAAAAAAAAAGGTCATCAATATCATGATTCCCTCCATCCTAGTCTCAATCAGAGGTGAAATGCCCGAAAGGTCAATCTTCCATCAACTCTTCACCAAAAATGTCACACTGTTCTATTCACACACTATTAATTTGATCAAAATGGTCAGATGTCGCAGGTTTTTGAGTTGGAGACTCACAACATGTTACCAGACGAGATACCGCCAAGTCCCTTGCTACCGTTCGAGCCGTAGTTGTTGATGTACCTGAGCGAGCAGGCGCCCTCCCTGGGCTGGAACCTGCACTGGACGTCGTTGGTGGGGGGGAGAATCTCGTGGCCGTACATGCCGGTGTTGGGCGCCGTCTTCTCGCCTTCGACCAGCTCGAGCTTGAAGCTGTTGACGATGTTGATGATGAACCACTTGATCTGCAGCATGGAGAGCTTCTGGCCCGGGCACAGGGACCCGAAGCCGATCAGTGGGTGTTTGATCTTCTTGCCGTTCTTGAAAAACTCGGCGTCCACGAAGCGGTCGTACTTGAATGTCTGAGAAAGATGGGATGAAAATAAATGATCTCATATACAGGTCTTCAAATTCGTTTTAAATAAAAAGATCGATCTATGACCTAAAAGCGGTGCTGCTGTCTAACATGGCAAGCCATAATAAAGGAGTTCAGACAAAATATTGAAATGTCTTGTCTATAAAGCCATATTTATTTTATTTTTAGCGAGGCGAGGTTGTTGTTTTCGCCTGATCTTTAAACGTTTGATTCAATTAGAGAACTGAGATAGAATGCGTGTTACCAGACAGGGTAGCAACTCACCTCGGGACTTTCGAAGATCTCGGGGTCGTGATGAAACACCGGAGGATAGATGGCGACCTTGTCCCCTTTCCTGATGTTGTAGGTCTCGCCGCTGTCGGTGGTGAACACGGTGTCCTCAACGCATTTGCGCACCATGAACACACCACTGGTCCACCTGATGATCTCTTTCAGAAACGAGTCTGCCAAGAAGATCAAAGACAATTGATAAGTAAGGTCATCTTAAGTATCACTCTTAAATTATAAACAGACACTGCACATATTTTTTTGGATTATTTTGTTAAAAGGGACATTTAAGTTTACAGTCAGGACTCACCAACTACGGGCAATTTGTTGATAAAAGGGACATTTAAGTTTACAGTCAGGACTCACCAACTACGGGCAATTTGTTGATAAAAGGGACATTTAAGTTTACAGTCTGGACTCACCAACTACGGGCAATTTGTTGATAAAAGGGACATTTAAGTTTACAGTCTGGACTCACCAACTACGGGCAATTTGTTGATATCTTCAGTCGTAAATTCAGCCTCATACTCCGACGTGTCGGTCCCTGTCCTCTTAGCCTCAACCACTTCCTCTACCTCCTTCCTCACGGCGGCCATGACACTTTCGTCCTCCATCAGCTTGTACATGCACCAGTAGACGGCGCGGAAGGTGTTGTAGTTGACGTGGAGGAACACGAGGTTGTGGCTGATGATGTCACGCTCTGACTGACTGTTGAATCAACAATGCAACAATGTTTTGTTAGGCTTGATTAACTTATAACCTATTCAATTTTAGATTTAAAAGATAAGTTAAACATTTTCCAGAATCAATTTTTATGTATATATATTTAAATGAATTCATAAATATCAAGATATTGGCACTTACTTATGTTTGAGCATGAACTCGGTAGCAAACTTGATGTAATCGGAACAGCCTTCTCTCTTGAGCATGTCAGCGCTGGATGGCTGCTGGGCCAGAATGCCGGCAGCCTGGGCGGCCTGGGGAAACATCTTCATGGGCATGCCGAACCACAGGAAGTTAAAATACTTGTGAAACTGGTCGAAGTTCTTGTGGAACACCTGCGGGTGGAAGTTGCCTTCAGTACCGGGCATGCCACGGCCAAAGATGGTGTAGAACACGGGGGAGAAGAAGGTCTTGGAAGCAAGATTCCTCAGGTTGTCCTCGCACCAGCTGTCTGCGGGGAGCTCTGCACGCATGTTCTCAAGCAGCCTCTGGGAAGAGATGAAACGTCCGGTATCGTAAGCCTTGTTGATGTCGTTATTGACGGACTCGTAGAGCTTCTGATTGTTCAGATCTTCAGAGGCACGAGTGTTGTTGTTGTTGTTGTTGTTGCTGTTGTTCAACCCGCTTGACTTGCTGTCACTTTCGGAAGCGGTGTCCTTGAAGGCTTCGGTCAGATTCTTGGCGAAGTTCTCCAGCGAGGTGAACAAATGTTTACCGTTGACCTTCTGACCCGCTTCGCCAATCATTTTTCTGGCGTCCGCCAGCTGGTAACCGAAGACGTTCTGGTTGACCTGTTCCTGGATGGCATCGAAGTCAAAGTTCTTCTCCTTGGCGAACCTCTCGTAACTGTGGATGTCCAGCACCATTGTCCAGTACTGGTTGAGGAACCTGATGGTGAACACGTCCCCACATTTCTTGTGGGCCTTGTGAAGGAATTTGACGGCGTGCTCCGTAAACTGTTTCCCGTTGCCCCAGAGGAAGTGGCCAGGTGCGAGAGGTGGCTCCCCGGCACGTCTAAAAGACAAGCATACAAACGATCGTCATTTGTTTGTTTAAATCGTTACAAATTATAGTTTGTTTTTTGAACAGATGCTAATGTTTATTACTTAGCGGTCATCTAAATTGACTGAATCGAAATAAAAGACTATATCACTGTGATGGGGAGGAGATGGTGTAGGAGTGATCGTCTACTTAAGGACTCGCTCACTGTGGTGGGGAGGAGATGGTATCTCGTTTTAACAGGAAGGTGGGGGCCAGTTTTTAAATATTTCGATTGAAAAAAAAAATGAAAAAAAAGAAATGCTTCTTTATAGTATTTAATTTCGTAAGCAGTGAATTTTAAAACTTCAAGCGCAAATGTGAAAGTAAGTTTACTTCAGCCTAGACACCAACATGGTCTAATTGCTTACATTTACGTACTGTCAAGTCATCTGAAGTCACAATATCACTGACTGGGGCTGGGGGTTTTTGGATAGGAAAAAAATGGGGTGGGGGGTAAACAAAGTTGCGCATTGCCCTTACCAAAAATATATCGGCATGCACACATTGGATCTGTGAAATAATTTACGGAACCTTTCCGTTTTCTCTCTTTTCTCTCCCCCCCCCCTTTCTCTCTCTCTCTCTCTCTCTCTCTCTCTCTTTTTCTCTCTCTCTAGATTTCCTCAGATCAGCGATTCAAACACAAACATGATTTATGACCAGGGACGAAATAAGTTGCGAGAGTATTTCTCTCTCTCTCTCTCTCTCTCTCTCTCTCTCTTTTTCTCTCTCTCTAGATTTCCTCAGATCAGCGATTCAAACACAAACATGATTTATGACCAGGGACGAAATAAGTTGCGAGAGTCAAGGTCGATCCTATTGATAGAGCGTTGCCCCAAGCACTCCCTCCCGCCCCAGCACCACCCCCAGCCCCGGCACCCCACCCCCCCACCCCACCGTGTGACAGGTGGTGATGAGAACATGCACTGCACCAGGCCAGCTATTGTTTGACTATGTCAAATAAGGAAACAACAATGGTTTAATTACAAGCGGCGGGAGTAAAGTGGGGGACGGGGTGGCGCCTGCGGTCTACCAATGCCGTAGAGTTACTTTTTTTTTTCAGTCTCATTAATTTGTGATGCAATATTACAGACCGATAAGACACTAGATATTTTATAGCAATATTTAGATTGTTACATTTAAAAAAAAAAAATTTAATTAAAAATCTTTTGGATTTTGGGGGACATCAGTTAATCTGATACATCTTGTCAAATTTTATTTTAAAAATTAACGTTTGGAATTTTTTTAAATATAATTTATTTTTTTAATACAATTTAAATTTTAAATAATAAGCAATTTTAGTCAATACAGAAATAATAATAATAATAATAAGAGTAAAGACTCTTCTAGGATAAAACATAAAATTACTTACGATAAAATTAGCCTGAAATTATTGAAAAAAAAAATTGATTTTAATCTTTTAAAAACTGATTGTTAAATTTTAGAAATGATATTGACTTACAATCTCCTGTAGAACATTTTGAAGTAAGCGAAAACAAGTCCGACAATCACGATGCCCAGATAGAGAGTAACTGCAGCCATGGCTGACGTCAGAGAATCCCGAGTGAAACGTCACACACGAAGAACCACACGAGTCCTATGTTATCACTGAATGGCCGAATGTGTTGTATTGTCCCTTTCGTTTCTTGGGTCAGATCTCTCGATTCCTCAACACGACCACGACAACTGAAAGAGCGGTTCACAATGATGTCCCTGGGTCTCTCGTCCTTCCTATTTAGGGGGTCCTCCGGAGTTGCTAAAAATAGAACCCGATCTTTGGTCTTGTAATAACCTATTGAGAATAGAAGAGAACAATGGTGGTGAATTTTGGGAGGTGAATTGTTTGCTGGGTGATACATGGCATCAAAACAAACGAGGCTGGAGGTCATTTTAAATCCCGCCCCAACCCCCCTCCCCTTCCCACTCCATCTCAACCTCCCCCCACACACCTCGTACGCCAAACATTTTTTTGTTGCAATTTTCTTCTGTGTGCCGTCCAACGACGCCATAGTTGGCCATATTTTTGGAGAGCAAAGATAGACAGGGCAACGATAGACAGCGCAAAGACAGACAGAGCAAAGATAGAGAGAGGTAAAGAGAAATAGTTGAAAGACAGAGAGAGAAGATGGAGAAGTGGACAAACTCCCACGACTTTTTTTTTTAGACTCCACTCCATCCTCTTTGACTGCATCTAATAACATTTTTTTTTTAAATCACAAAGTGGTGACGCATTAATGTAAAAAAAACAAAACAACAAAAATCTACCTTACCTCGAAATGAATTAAACCACGCCCACACTGTTGATTATTAAAAAAAAAACAAAAAAACACAAAAACACACACACATTTAATTGATGAACGCGAATATTACAATAGTGTCGTCCTAAAAGTACCAGTGATGGGTCCGACACGCTTGGGTGATTATATTTAATAAACTGTAGGCGGGTCGCTATTTATTTGGCAACAAGACCTTGATGTGACGTATTGGCAACCCATGTTCATGACGTCATACACTTATTTTGGGGGGGGGTGAGTACGTGTGTGTGTGTGTGCGTGTGGGTTTTGGGGTGGGGGGTCTAACTAGCGGTATGTCTAGATTACAGTCTGCGGGGAGGGTGGGGGGCTGACAGATCGTCTTGTATCCCGAGTATGAAGCGAGCGCACTACACGATGGTGACGTCACATCCATCCACTTATCCACCAAGTCATCAGCCTCTGCCTTTAAGTCACGTGACGGACACTTGACCTAGTTGGATGGCTATTTTTTTTAAAAAAATGTATAGTTTGTTTTTGTATGTTGTTGTTTTTTTTTTTGTTTTTTTTTTGGGGGGGGGGGGGGGTTGCCAACGAAGCAATTCTTATTATTTTTTTTTAAACTTATCCACCAAGTCATCAGCCTCTGCCTTTAAGTCACGTGACGGACACTTGACCTAGTTGGATGGCTATTTTTTTTTTAAAAAAATGTATAGTTTGTTTTTGTATGTTGTTGTTTTTTTTTTTGTTTTTTTTTTGGGGGGGGGGTGGGGTTGCCAACGAAGCAATTATTATTATTTTTTTTTAATATTGAAGAGGGGCGCCGTCCTTAACACAAACGATGCCATTGACAGTTGTACGGCCGCCGCGGCACACTGTGGGGGACGAACGGTGCATATGGGCCGCTCAATGAGTGGGCCGGGCTAACTTTATCGTTGGATTAGCGCGCCAAGACTTCGTGTTAAGCGTTGAGCGCGTAAAGCGTTTAAGCGCCCTACAATTTAAGCTACAAACTCTAAAACATGAAGTGTTTGATCATTGAAAAAAAAAAAAATACGTCAGTGTGTTTGTACGTGATTGTAGGTTGAGAAAAGAAAAAAGTCGTTTGTTCGATACAAATGGATTCGTTCATGGATAACTTCTGTTAGCTGTGGATACTCAGTCATAACTACGCAATGATCACACATTCGAATATCTCCGATTCGCTCGCGTCACGCCCGATTCTCTGGCATTATTCTAATCCCATTGGACCAGACAAACCAAACCCGTGTTTACCGTTAAGCTACCGTTAAGTTATCATTAAGTAACCGTTAAGCTACCGTTAATTTATCGTTAAGCTACCGTTCAGTTACCTTAAGTTATCGTTAAGTTACCTTAAGTTATCGTTCAGTTACCTTAAGTTATCGTTAAGCTACCGTTAAGTTACCTTAAGTTATCGTTCAGTTACCTTAAGTTATCGTTAAACTACCGTTAAGTTACCTTAAGTTATCGTTCAGTTACCTTAAGTTATCGTTAAGTTACCGTTAACACCGCGATAGCAAGTGACCCTTTGAGATTCAACGCGACGCTATTACCGTGGTCGCAAAAAAACAACAAAAACAACAAATGCAAACTATTTTTTAAAAACAGCAAAAAAACAAGATGGGGCAATCGATGGGATGGGGGTGGCAGGGCGCGCTAATTGATGTTATTGATTATTGGCGATAACTTTAGCCGCTCGACCAGGGGGAGTAGGGGAACAGTGAGAGAAAAAAAAAGGAAACAAAAAGGGGTGGGGGTGGGGGGAGGGTTGCTGTGGTGTTCAATCTTTGCTTCGTGATCACCAATCGTGCGTATGTGTGTGTGTGTAATACATGACTCCCCGTTTTTGTACCGGTTTAATACCCAGCGAGACAGCTTGAGATTGGAGTGGAGAAAAAAATGTGTGTGTATGGAGGGGGGGGGAGAGAGCGTGATGAACGGAAAAATGTGTGTGTATGGAGGGGGGGGGGGAGAGAGCGTGATGAACGGGCCTTGATGAGTTAAAATTTGCCATGTCGGCATATTTTGTACAATACACTACAGTTTTGATCTTAACATGTAAACGAAACTGCAAGGGTTAATATCAGATCTGCAGATAATAGTGCTACCCCCCCCCACATATTAATAACACTACAACTCAGCCCCCCCCTCCCGCCCCACGCCACCTTTTCTTTTCTTGTAATATTCTAAGAAATGAATTTTTTTTTAAATTTCCTGTTGAAATTTCTTAAGTTCAAACATTATTTATAAAAAATATGACATTCTAATCACCTAAAAGTGGTGTGTTGAGAGAACAAGACCTTGGTGATAAGGAATCCCGGCATGCAACATTAAACACCAACACTCATAACAAACACAAAAAAAAATCATTTTGCTAGAATATAAGAGTCGTGACAAAATCATCTTGGAGATAGATACGCCAGTCAGTCTAAGAAATCCCGGATATGCCGATAGATAGAGCGTAACCATGCGACATTGTAACCCGTGACGAAAGACATCGAGTTACGGTTAGGGTTAGACTGGTGGACCAGTCGTGATGAGACGGTGTTTGCAAATCATGCAATTTAACTTCCGTGTTACGTTCTTTCGTTTCGCTGACTTCTTTTTTTTCTCTTTCCGATTAACAACCCTAAACTTTAATTACAAATATATGTTTGTTTTTTTTTGTTTTTTTTTAAATAGTAATTAGGACCCGTGGTTCGTCT